ATCATCGTCATTATGGTGTGGGAGATTCTCCAAGTTTTGAGAGTAAAGTTTCGGTAAGCGACATTCCACGAATTGGCGTACAACGTTCGGTTAGAAAATAAAGGAGTATTTGAGTGAGTAAGAGAGAGTATCGAAGGTCAAGCGCTTTCAAATTTCATTGGAATGACGTCCGAGAGGTCCATTCTCCAACGAAATTTTATATGCACCAACTTGTACAAAAAGATAGCGTAATAGCTCATACGGCAAGGGCCACAATTCAGCTTGTCACGCAAATTTAGGGGAAAAAGAATGATTTCTTACAGATGTTGCATAAACTGACCACCACGATCTCCTGGATCTGACAAACCTTGAATCCTTCCAACTTGGATATCCCAAAGAAAAGGTTTATGTCAACAAGCCTCTGATTCTCTAACAACCGAAAGACAACATTTAGGCTGACATCAGAACATTAGAGTCTGAAACACAGAGGACACTGATGGAAAATGACTAAGAAAGGTCACATTCGTGTGATGGTAAAATTAAACGCTATTTAAAAGATGTAACCTTTCTCAAATCGTGTAAATTTATTTCACAAATCTATTGTATATTAAGTTCTTCCCAGCAATTGTATTTTCTTAATAAGGTCCTCCTTACATTTCTACACCAAGTATATATATATAGTTTAAGGTGTGCTATATTTATAGGATAAAGCGATCAATATCAGAGATCGAGCGTATGTAAATATAATTATATATATATATATATATATATATATATATATATATATATATATATAAATATAATTATATAAATATATATATATATATATATATATATATATATATATATATTTTACTTTTAATACATTTTATACATACATATATATATATATATATATATATATATATATATATATATATATATATATATATATATATATAACCCAACAACTTAGGGGTAAAATCTCCGACTGGTGCCAATACAGCCGGATTTCGAACCTAGCTAGAGGCAACCGGAGGTCTATCCACACTGATGAGCTGTGATACAGCGAAACAATCTGCCTGTGGATGACAATATATATGCTCCTGAAAAATTTATATCGGTTGAGCTCTGTGAGGAGGAAATGTGAGTTTGTAAACAGTGACTATTACGGGTGATAATGCAAGACTCTTCGGTAAAGCGAATCGTGTTCTCTCAGTCACCGTGTGTTTATCTAAAAATAAATACGCTTAAATTCACCTTTTTCCTTGCTTTGCGTCAACGGCTTAGGCGTAGAATCTCCGACTGGCGCCAATTCAGCCGCGTTTCGATCCTAGCCAGCGACATATGATGAACTGTGATACAGCGAAACAGTCTGTCTGTAGATGACAATATATATATATATATATATATATATATATATATTGTGATGTCAACGAAAACTCGTTGCCACTTTTGTGATCTCAAGGAATACTCGTTCTGACTTTAGTAATGCTCGTTGTAGTAGAGACTTTGTAATCGCAGATACAACTTATAGTAACGCCGTTGAACAATGTTGGTGTCAGATGCCTTCAAATAGCACTCATACTAATAGTACTTGATCGATAATAGTCGCTCGAATAGTAATCCGTATAGTGATCCGAATAGAGAAATAGTATAGTGAATAGAGTAGAGGAAAGCGGTCCGTATATCCATAGAGGATAGACTAGAAATAGTGATCCGTATATTAATAGAGGATAGAATTGAAATAGTGATCCGTATAGTAATAGAGGATAGAATAGAAATAGTGATCCGTATAGTAATAGAGGATAGAATAGAAATGAGGATCAATTAGAAGCACGCAACCTCCCATGTATGCGTTTCCTCTATGGTCACTTTATTTTGGAAGCAATCTTGGACACCTCAGAAGTAGTGCACGGGAGCGGTGACTGAAGAGGAAGAGGGACTACGAAATAGAATTGGTGATAATGAGTGCGAGAATTTTCAGGAAGTATATTCTGGGTCGGGTGAGTCATGTGGTACAAGAAGAAGAGTTTTGCCTAAATATGTAGGCGCGCTGACATTGATCCTAATGACCGATGGCAAGAAATGAGGCATCAAATGGTCCTCTCTGCTCAGGATTTCAGAGACTATCACAGATGATGTGACCTTGGTGTGCATCAACGAGGTTTCAATGCACACCGCACCTAATGTTCTTCATGTTGATCTGGCCACATAAACTAAGAAAGAGACACACTGCCCGCGGCCCGTGTCAAAGCTCAGCATGCATTTTCATTTCTCGTGTTAGATTGGAAACAGTCAATATTGATGCTCACAATAACACCAAAAAAATAATGGATGTCAAAATTTGGTGCATGGCATGTACCTTTATCTTAAGTCGTCTCCAATTTATAGTTCATTAGATAGATAGATAGATAGATAGATAGATAGTGATTTTCCAAGCGTAGCTTACACGTGGCACGAGGCCGAAAGTAGGGGTCACCCAGTGAGGATCGAACTCACTACTCAGTCGTAATTGTTCTAGCGAAACAATCTTACTAACCATTACACCGCCTCGAGGTGCCCCGATAGATAGATAGATAGATAGATAGATAGATAGATAGATAGTGATTTTCAAAGCGTAGCTGAGATGTGACACAAGGCCGAAAGTAGGAGGCACCCAGTGAAGATCGAACTCACTATTCAGTCTTAATTGTTCTAGCGAGACAAGCTTACTAATCATTACACCGCCTCGAGGTGCCGAAAGCAGGCACCCAGTAGGGGTCGAACTCACTACTCAGTCGTAAATATTCCAGAGAGACAAGGTTGCTAACCCCTACATAGCCTCGAGGTGCCAAGATAGATAGATAGATAGATAGTGATTATCCAAGCGTAGCGTAGATGTTGCACAAGGCCAAAAGTATGGGGGTACCCAGTGAGGATCTAACTCACTACTCAGTCTTAATTGTTCTAGCGAAGTAAGCTTCCTTATCACTACACCGCCTCGAGATACCCAGATAGATAGATAGATAGTGATTTTCCAAGCATTGCTTAGATGTGGTACAAGGCCGAAAGTATGGAAGCACCCAGTGAGAATCTCACTGACTACTCAGTCGTCATTGTTCTAGAGAGAGAGAAGTTTTCTAACCACTAGACCGCCTCGAGATGTTCCGATAGCATTTGTCACACCATTTACTATAGCACAATCAAAATCTTTGAAAATAGCAAAATAGCATTCAACGAAATCGTTCAGAACAAGCATTCCGACAATTCCTACACTACAATATATATATATATATATATATATATATATATATATATATATATATATATGTATGTAAAAAAGGTATTTGCGAAAAACAATTTAAATTATTTTATTTTGTTGTCAATGTTTTGCAAATTAAGAGCATTTTTAGAATAACTGAAAAATCTAAGTAGAAAATCGTTACCATTTCAAACATGCTAGTTGAAATGGCTTGAGATGTTTGTACCAGTTAATAGTATAAATTACTGAATAAATCAATGATATGTGTACAAAGAAAAACGTTCAAATGAAATGTAAGTATGGTAATTTGATATCGGAAAAAACGTTTTAATTAGTAAAAATAAAAAATAAAATTTATGATTAAATATTTATTATATTTACAAGTATTTACTTATAATATATATATATATATATATATATATATATATATATATATATATATATATATATAATGTTTCATTGTAATATAGGCAAAAAGGAAAAAGGTTGATTTTAAAACTGCACACCCTTGTGGCCATATCCAAACAGACTGAAAATCCGGAGTGAATCCCCGATACCATTTTGCTTTTACTACTGTCAAAATTCCAGCTATTCCTGAGATCAAGCCGGCCCTAAATGTAATCACTTTTATTCCTTTGAATCTTGTCTGTACGGCCGAGTATGAGGGCGTATATTCTGGTTATTAAACAGCTTCTGTATACTATCACCTAACCCTGTACCTTGGAGAGATAACTCTAGTCCCACAACCAAAGGACTGTATTTCAACCAAACAGAATTCTACAATTATTGCGTGAGATAAACGGATGCTTATTATTATTATTATTATTATTATTATTCGCACAGCATGTGATGTTGGTTGCTGGTAAGAAGTTTATTTTCAGGTTAACACTCCTAAATTAAAATACATCGATTTTTTTTTTATTTTCACCGACAATCGCTATCATTTTTGTAACGGCTTTGCAAATTACAATCTGAAAGATTTTTGTAGATCCCAGTACTCCAATGACCACTGGTACTGTAATTACTTTCTTTGCTATTCCTTCCCAAACGTTCAAAATTCCATGCTTTAAATCACTCTAGTTTTCGATCTTTTCCATTTTGTTGAAATCAATTTACTTGTCAAGAGGACAGATTTTTACCAGGTAGCAAGTTTTATTCTGTTTGTCCAGTCGTTTATTGTGCGCTAAAATTGTCTCTGTCTGTAGTGAAATATACTACAGGAATTTCATTTTGCGATTCACCAGCATTTTCTTCCCCTTTGTATGTTCATAATACTTGTTACTTCATTCAAACACATACTTTTTTAGACAATTTCCAATGAATAATAACACCAAGTTTATCCTGCTTCCAATTCATAAACCCACTGAGCCATACACTTGCATTCTGATACAATATAACTGATAGTCTCATCTCTTTCGTTACAGACTATTATTATTATTATTATTATTATTACAAAAGTAGATGTATTATTACAGAGAAAAAGATGTCAAAGTAGTAAGAATACAATGTTGTATTCAACCTTGGGCAGATATTCTGTCTGCGATTAGCATACTTTCATGAAGACGATTAAATGGGTTTCACTACACCCGACTCAGGTTCCTCCACATAGCAACTGCTACTACTACAACTGCTGCTGCTGTTGTGCTACAACTTTTATACTTTCAATCATAATAGTTAAGATTAATAATTTTTGTGTTTTTGTATTCGATTCTGCGGGTCGGAAATCTGATTTAAGCACATCTTACTCAGTTGTCTTGGTGATCAAGGCAAATTCTTTTTTCATTTTTTATATAAATCAATGATTCATCGCAGCACCAATATTCCAAGTGTAAAATCTTATCTTTCTTTTTTCTTCCTCGTTCCGTGTTCCATCTTATGCTACTTTTTAGCCTTTGTCTTTTTGCTCCTGATCTTCTTTCTCCCCCACAGGCTCTTCTTTTTCTCCCACTGACTCTTCTTTCTCTCCCACTGGCTCTTCTTTCTCTCCCACTTTCTCTTCTCTTTTGGACTTCTTTTTTCTTCGCTCTCACCCTCCCTTCTCGCCCTTCTATCTTTTCTCTCTCAACCTTTTTTCTCACCCCTCGCCCTATTTCTCTTCTCTCTTGCCCTTCTATTTCTTCTTTCTGACCACCCTCTCTCCCTCTTTATCTCTTCTCTTGCGATCTTCTTTTCTCCTCCCTCACCTTCTTTCACTTCTGTCATGCCCTTCTCCACTTTCTCTTCCCCACTTTCACTTGCTGGTTCACTTCTATCTCCCTCTCCCTCTCTCTCTCTCTCTCTCTCTCTCTCTCTCAGTTTTTCTTCTCTCCCATCCTTCTTTCTTTCCCACTTTCTCTTTTCACTCGATTTTCTTTCTCCCCAACGTTCTCTTCTCTATGGCCTTTCTTTCTCTCTTATATTCTCTTCTTTCTTCACCTTCTTTCTCTCTCGCTTCAACTTCTTTCTTTTCTTTCTTTATCATATTTGTTTATTAGTGTTATCTTTTTAAAGTTATCTTGATACTTATTATTAGTGTTTATGCGTAAACAACTTTCATCGATAGATATGCGCTTCTTTTTTTTTTAAAGAAAACACTTTACTCGTAATTACAATAGCAGTATCGTTGCTTAATCTTTATATAAATATTTTAAGTTCATTTTTCTAAAGCCTGTATGATGATTTCTTAAAATATTATACGTCTAAATTTGGCACTTATTCTAATAAAAGATCATGGAGAAAATCTTATTGATTTTATCTTCTCCTTTCTGTACTTAACACAGTCGCCGACTGGTTCACTAAGTCTAATCCTTATCATATGATTAATTAAAGTTACTATGATAAAAACATTATAGATATTCTTACCACTAGTACTTCTGTATAGACCCAGTGGTTAAAACATATTCTGACCATTAGACCCGGGTACTCAACATATTCGATTTGTCAGTCACTCAATTATGTGTCAAGTGTGCCACACACTTAGGCGATTATGTATCTTTCAATACATGACTGACGAGGCAGATTTTTTCCCGTAGTATGTTGCCATTTCTTTCTGCGGTAGACCAGTTGTCATCCATGCCTATAGAACACGGTTTTTGCTCCTATTTACCCATACCTTGTAGAAGAAAAGGATTCATACCTTTGTCAAGGGAAAGTGAATGTAATGGATTCGATTGGAATTCGAACTCTGCACTCCGATTCCACCGTTTTTCAGGAAGGAGATTTCCTGATGTTATTGGACTGAAGGGGTCGATCCCAGCGTGCGGCACCTTTGGAAAGTGCCTGAAAACCATACCACGGGTTGACCCAAGCCTTGTCAGTGAAATTGGGTAGACGGAACCCTTGCAGGCCGTCAATAGCTGTGCTAGCACAAAGTCATCGTGGCAGAGGACTTGAGCGTTCTGGCCTTGTTCAAATTGTTGATCACGCTAGATAACACGCTCTTTTCCATAAATTGTAACTAAGGTCTTGTCAGTATAGTTGCAGTATAAACCACAGGTGGGCTCTGTGGGTGTTGAATAACCACAAATGTGCCTGAGCGAGTGTCTGCAATAGGGATTGTCTACCCGCCCTAGTAGACGGGTATCCTCGAATACGAGTGGCCAGCTATACCTACATATACATATTATGAAATGGACAAAGTTTGACAATTATTTTAAGACATTTTTTATGTTTATACATTTTTTTTTTTATAGATAGAAATATTTAAGTAAATACTCTGTTTTATAATAAACAGTATTAACAACTTTTACCGGCCTGAAAATCCGAGAAATTTTAATAGAAAATATGCGTCCTCCGACGGACATGTACGTGAGAGAATCATGGAAGATTGTAGTTTAAAAACAGTAAAATCGACCTTGCTAACCGAATGCTCCTCTGTGGCGAAATCGGTAAAAGCACGTCAGGCTATATGATGGTTCCGTATAGGATACAAGTTCGATTCCTGTCGGAGGATGCATGTTTTCTATCACAATTTCCCGGACATTCAGGCCGGTAAATGTTGTTAATACTGTTTATTATAAACAGAGCATTTACTTATTTGTATCTATAAAAAGAATGTATAAACATAAAAATGTCTTAAAATAACGCTATATACAGTTTTGCTGATGGTATTGTACTAATTTTTTCTTTAAGTCTGCATTATATAGTATTTTCCGAAGATGTTTTCATTAGTATTATTAGAAATCGTAACAGTAATAATAGTGACAATAGTGAATAATTGTTGTTATATAATTCTATGTAATTTTTAAGTTGCCATAAAATTTACATTTAACACGTTTTAATCATAATAATCTAATCAGTGATCCTAAGAGACACCAGATAAAAAAAATTAATAAATGATCTGAAGAGATGAGTAAGTATAAGGACATTATTTTAGTACTAAACTCCTATGTGACATGTGTTCTCCTGTAAGGCAGTGGGTGCTTAAAGATCTCCAGGTGAATAGGAGACTTGAAGCGACAGAAATGTGGTTCTACAGAAGGATGCTGAGGATACAAGGGACCGAACATGTGAGCAATCACGAAGGTTTAGAGAAAATAGAAACTAAAAGGGAATTTATACTTAACATCAAGAAGAGAGAGTTGAAGCTTCTAGAGCGCATCATGAGGAAAGAAAGCTTGGAAAATCTGATACTCAGAGGACAGACGGCAAGAGGAACAGAGGAAAACAACATACTCAATCTGCTTGACTAAATGGATGGCGAAACATTTTTCAGGAGAAATAACGGAAAGACAAAGTTTATTAAGAGCTGCAAGGGACAAGAAGCTGTGGAGAGCCATGATCGCCTACTTCCTGATGTTACACGGCATGGAAAGAATAATAATGCCACCTTAAAATTACTGTTATAGACTTAATAAGTGGAGGTCTGGATGCGATGAAGAAAAGTCTTAGACAAGAATATTAACGAAATCCATGCTTAAAAGCCATGTTTTTTAATTGGACTGTGTAAAACTGATCGTCTATTCAAGAGAATAATATTAACGTAAAGAAAATACAAACACAGTATATGTTAAGTATGACTTTAAATTAAAACTTGTGCAAGTACAATGCATATATTCATTACCTCGATTTACCACAGATCACGAGTAACGAAAAGGTTAGGGGGTTGGAATTATAAATAGCGTACTATATAATAATAATAATAATAATAATAATAATAAATCAAAGCCAACCGCCCAGACATTGTTATTAAAGACCACAAACAGTGCCTCCTTATTGATATGGCAGTCCAGATTGCAATGTATTTTTGAAGATATTCAAAAAATTGTCAAAGTACAAGGACCTTGAAATAGAAATCTCATGAATGTGGCATATGCGAACATCAAAAATTCCTGTTGTAGTTGGAGCGCTAGGATTGGTTAGAAAATATTCCAGTAGACTAATTGAAGGGATTCCTGGAAGTCCATGCCTGAAAGAGATACAAAAAATTGTTCTGACAAGTACAGCCCACACTTTACGAAGGGCTTTATCTATGTATTTTTTGTCATGATGCCATTTCTAACCTTAGGTCCCGGGGTGGGACCCGGATAGAAATGTGTAAACCCCAGAAATAAAAGGAAATAATAATAATAATAATGATAATGATTGTCCATGTATCACTAGTAATGTTGTTGTTGATGATGATGATGATATTTTAGTGTTCTCCTTTAATTTAATAATAATTTATTTCTGATCTAATTCTATTGGTTAAAAAAGATTCAAATATATTTCCTACGTAAGAGTACTGCCATCGACAAAATCTATAAAAAAAAGTGGAACACAGAGCCTTGATATTTCTTTGACTTCTGATTAGTCAGTTAATGCTAATATCATCGTTTCGTCTATGTGCGCAGGGTCAAAATTAATTTACCGCCAAAAACGTGTCTATGTGTTTCGAGCCTATCACGTGGTACACATTAAATATAATTATTTAGCGACATCTTCAACTCTTTCTTTTTTGCCTTCTCTCACATACAAGATGTAGCTGTGGAGAAATCGCGTTTGTCCCTTTAAGGTAAAAAACGCTATGAATGACACACGCACACACACACACACATGCATACACGAATGTACGAACATTGCACATCTCTTAACTCATCACATTCACTCCTTCAACTACAAGAACACAGAAACTTATTCAACTTCTAACAGTGAGATTTTCTTCAGCGACAAATATGCTGTCCGTGAGAATGCAACTTTCGTCTCTTACCAGTCTTACTTTTCTTCTTCTCTCAGTCCAATACTTAGCATTTTTCTACATTGTTTGATCGTAAATCAACATGGATCGGAAAATCTGACATGATCGCAAGAATGAGATATATGTGTTCATATCCTGTTGTAAACTTATTCTTTATCTCGAAGACATGCTGCATGCTTATCTGTAGAATGTGAAACTAAACTGAACGTTAACCAGTACGCTTCAGCGCTAACACATTTAGACACCTTAGACAAATGCTACTATTAACCTAAACTAAACATATGCTAATAATAATCAAATTCTCTGCAATGTATTTGCTCTCAACAAGTCTATATCCCAACTGTCATTATTAAATTTTGGAAACATTCTAATGAGACCTTCATAAAAAATCCATTGCTCTTGTGAGCGATGAAGTATTCTCAAACCTACAACCCCTTAGCCACAGACGAATCGTTGCAAACATAGCTACTCTATCTTTATTTCAATGACAAATTTTCATACGTGCTACAGTCCCTAGTTCTACCAGTTAAGACCTTCACATCTAGCACCCTCTATACAGAAGGTCGAATCATCGTCATTTCCTTTGTATTCCACCATTAAGAAAGAAAGTTGCATTTAGGCAACTTCTTCCCAAGAATCACTACTTTGGGAAACAGATTCCGAAGAAGATGCTTCCTGAACTCTTAAGTCCTAGGGTCAGTCGTTATACAGTGCTGTTCGATAAAAGTGACTCACCTTGTCCTTTGAATTTAGTTCAACTTTCATTTCATCGGAGAAGAGAACATTCTTCCAGTCTTCTACGGTGAAATGTTTGTAATAGTGAGCCCATTCAAGTCTCTTAGCTTTGTTGGCTTTGCTTATTACCGGCTTAAAACTTTGTGTACAAGATTTGTAGCCTTAGAACAAGGCTACAACGGCCACCGACGGACTGTTGAAGATGCAAGTCTAACACCTTGCTCTTCGCTTAGACTGGCTGCAATTTCTTGGCTTGTTATAGTCCTATTCTTTGCAACTTCTTGATTACCCTGCCAGTTCTATCATCAATCTTTTTCTTTCGTCCCCTTGTTTCCTGCCTTGGAGCAGGAGTAGCATCATTATGTGCCCTAAGTACTCGAGAGACAGTTGATTGTGAGGTTATAGCAATTTTTGCAATTTCTCTCGTAGACTTGCCTGCTTTTGAGAGGGCAATAATTGATGCCTTAAGTGGTTCTGATGTGTGTTTGTACCCTTTCATCTGGCTAGTGACTTGAGTGGCTATTTCAAGCTGTTGTTATACTGTATGAGGTTTTCTGGAAGAATCTAGATTTAATTTAAGCTGTT